CAGCCCAAGGCTGCTGTAAGCCCAGACCAGCAGCAATGAGAAGGAGGAAAAACCAGCCCAAGTTGCTGCCAGTCCTGAAATCGGCAGCGAGAGAGAGAGAGAGACGTGTGCAGCGAGAGTTCGGGAGAAGGAGCAGCAGATCGGGAGATCSTGGGTGAGTTCGAGGAAGATCGTGGGCAAAGACGTGTGCAATTAAAGAGGACAGCAGCAAGCTGTCGAAGAGGGAGAGGCTGGTCGCGTGGAAGGAGAAAAGAAGGAGAGGGCGGTCGCGAGAGGAATCAAGCAGCCGGCTGTCGTTTGAGAGAAAAACCGAGGACGAGGGCTGTCGATAGAAAAAGGGGTTGTCATCAAGCAGCAGGWAGAAATCKAGAGGAAGAAATCGAGCAGCCGAGAGGAAGAAATCGAAAGTGGACAGCAAAAGGATAGAGGCGAGAGGGAACATCGAAAGTGGACAGCAAAAGGGGTTGTCATCAAGCAGCCGAGAGGAAGAAATCGAGCAGCCGAGAGGAAGAAATCGAGCAGCAGGGGGCTGTCGATTGGAAGCAGCAGAAGAGGGAAGGAAGCAGCAGAAGAGGGAAGGAAGCAGCAGCCGAGAAGAAGGGGAATCAAATTAAGAGGTTTTCAGAGTTAAATTTACATCTAACCGATTCAGACAAAATGAGACATTTTCAGCACTTAATTTATAAAAAAAACAAACGCACTTAATTCCTCTAGGTCTGAATCGGTCAGACTTAAGAGGCAATTAAGTGATTTTTTAGAAAAACAAACAGGGCCTAGGTCTCGGATATACCTCATCGATTCCCTTTTGTGTCTTTTAGAGCGCTTCATCAGATGAAAGAAATCCGATTGACATGCACATAATTTATACCAAGTGATTTAAATATCCAATGAAGCACCTTCAAAATCTTCCTATAGATGGAAATTCGATTTATAGCTTATATTTTCATAATAGAAAAAAATAGGATTTTTTCACGTAAAACTCTTGTAACCTGTATTGGTCTAAGAACAAAATGTCTTCAACAAGATCAAAGATTAGTTGAAGTGAGGTCAAGATCGTCACCAAGACGGATTGGTTTGTCATCTAACCAAAAAGAAGATAAATACAAACCAAAGGACATTTGGCCTAGCGGTATGTGAGTCTTTGGCCTCCTCGGAGGTCATGGGTTCAAACATCACCAAAGATGAGGAGAGTGTGCGAGTTTATTTGTTTTGTTTGCCGTATATAAATATTACATACTTTAAAAGAAAAGATATACATAAGATAAAAGTCAACTAGTACTCTGACAAATACTACTACTAGTAAGCCGAATTTTGGAGTACAAACTTGTCCAACAAGTTTTGGCTCACCAACTCTCTAACACCCATCTAGGTATGATAACATGCACACCATGTCGGCCAAAGAAAGTCCAAAAGTACTAGTTTGTTGGTGTCATACTTTCTTTATTGTTCCCTCATCATACATAAAGATGAGAAATCTTAACAAATGTCTACATCAACCCCAAATGCTAATATGTAGAATACTAACATGCAAGGATCAACAAATCAAATGAAGACATGCATTAAAGTATGACAGTAGCATTTAATGCAATAGTTGCTATAAGAGGTCACCCTTATCATTCATTGTTACTTACCCGTTTTGTAAGAACTTCTTTGTGAGTGTTTTTAGGAAAAATAGCCGTCACCTTCTGAAGAACTTCCTTAGTTCTTCGGATCTGAAAGAGTACTTTCTTCCTCCACTATTTCAGTATAAGCTAATTTCTCGTAGTCAGATTGTTTAAGATCATATGTCTTACCTTCCTAACTTTCATAACAAATATGTAATTCTTTGTTTTATACAAAATATAGAATATATATAATTAAAAGTGAATATTTGTTGTGTTTGTATTCACCCACCCCTTCTACAAACACTTCTCGTGTAAGTCCCCAGGACCAACAAATGGTATCAGAGCAGTTTGTTTAAACTCATAAACAAGACCTGAAATGACTTCCACAAGCAATGATAATGGCTCTTTATCCAAACCTCCTCGTTTTAAAAAAACAACAACATCTCTTTAAGAAAATCGGATAACACTCTTTCTTGAAGAGTTGACAGCCAAATCCCTATGTTCTAAGAAATGTTCGACACGTTCCTACCACTTTCCTTCCCAGTGTCAAAGATAAAAATGAAAAGGTGATTGAACCAATAAGACAAATAATCAAGTCTCCTAACTTATGGTCGGAAGAAGATAAGAAGCTAGTCGTAGTTGACACTGAAGCTAAACAATCATCATTATGTCTCTTCTAGATGATGTCTATCATTTTATTATGAATCTTTCCACTCAAGAGACATGCAAAATACTCTCACCTTTTTATATGATGGGACATCAGAAGTAAAACAAAAGAATAATTCTTATCAGGCAATATTGTTGATCCAAACTCTTTCATTGATTTAATGATGACCCTACATACTTAGTGAAAAATACTTGTTGTAATTCTTATTCAGTCTCAGTGATCATCTCTAAGTCTGTTCAGTGATCGCTGAACATATGCCAAACGTTTCAAAGAACAAGTATTCTCCAAAGACAAAACCCATACCAAAGGAACCTTAGCGATGTCAAAGAAGTAACTGAAAAAAGCAACATGAAGTTCATGATCTGAAGTGGATTCAGTGATAACAGAATGTCTAAATCAAAGTGTGAAATATGACCAAGACTCAGCGAACACTAAAGAACCTTAAAGATGAATCAACGTTAGCGATCAAATGAATCTTGTTCTACAATATTAGTTTTTGTCTTATCTTTATGCACAAAAGGACAACCCCATATCTCTCACAGAAAGGTACACTTACAGAGTTAGTTTATTGTCTCCAAACATGCTTACCAACTTTGTGAAGGTCAATTGTTCATATGCGGCTAAAAGACTGCATGTTTGAAGACAAAAAGGACAAGCTCTCCTTTAGAAGTTTGCCATTTGGCTTGTACCCTCTAAAGTGCACTAAATGCAATGGGTATAAATAGTTGAGAAGATCTCTCTTCTCAGCAACGCCTTCTTCTTCTTCTTATTACTACTACTATCTTCTTTCTTATTCTTAATCTTCTTTGTGTTTAACTGTGTGTTTCTTAGATTATCTAAATTAGGTCCTTACCTTATCTATTTCTAAAACAATCTGTAAATTATGTATTGATCTTCTTTTATCAATAAAGAAATTTAAAAAGTGAAAATTTGTGCGTTTATATTCAAGCCCCCTTATACAAACTGTTACCTTCAAAACTCTTGTAGATATGTTTGGGGCCAACAAGTGGTATTAGAGTAGTGTTTTATTATCTATTTCTTAAAGATAATCTACTAACCATTTTCTTTAAATGGCTTTGTAAAAACACATACACAAACTATCATGATAATGACTCTCGTGTCAAACCTCAGATTTAGTAGGGACAAGTTCAGTCTCTAGAAAAATTGAATGTCCGTATTTCTAGAAGGCACGGATCCTGAGATCCCGTATTATATTGAAAATGGACCATATATTCCATTTGCAATATCTCCAGCCATTCCTGCCCCTGCTACCACTACTGCCATACCTAAAAGGCAGATTCCAAACCTCCCTCACCAAGGGAGCGATGAAGACAAGAAGAAAATAATTCTTGATACTAAAGATAGATCTATCATAGCCATATCTCTTCCTGATGAGATATATTATTCTGTCATGAAACTTAAAACCTCTAAATCCATGTAGGACACATTGTGTGTTTTATATGAAGGTACTACCGAGGTACAAGAAATGAGAAAGACAAACTTAATGCGACAATATAAAAGTTTCATTTGTGGAAAAACTGAATCTTTGTCCAAAGTACACCATCACTTTAATTACCCACTA